ATGACAAATTTTTTGTTGGTGTTTTTAAGTAGCATATCAAAGTGTAACACGTACACCTGTTAACAGAAGCCCGTCCTGCAGGAGTTTATGGTGATCAGTCGTGGGTCCTCCATCCTGCTTCTGCCATCCTCAGCCCCATTCGTAAAAGGCAATCGCCTTAAGAATTTTCGTGTGTAGTGTCTGCCGGTGCCTCCTTGAAGTCACCTGCTCGTGCTGCTGGTGTCTCTGACGGACAGGAGACAGCGTCACTGCTGTTCTTCTGGCTTCTCTCTGTGTTTCTCCTGTCATTTGTGTGTGGTCAAGAACTATAACGTAAAACTTACCACCTTGACCGTCGTCCGGCACAGTGGTGTCCGGTATGTTCGCGCCGTCGCGAGGCCGAGCTCCAGAACGTTTTCGTCTCCCATGACAGAAATTCCACACCCAGGAAACGACGACCCCGCTTCCCCCAGCCCCTGCCAGCCACCACCCTGCTGCCCGTCCCCGGGGACTCCACTGCTTCCGCTGCCTCCTGTCAGTGGAGTCCCACAGCGCTTGTCCTTTTGTGACTGGCTACCTCTGTCATTTTGAATAACATATTTAAATTTCCGTTTCCTTCATCAACTCACTCCCTCCTTCTCTCCCCCACCTTGCGAGTTTCCTCCTTTCTCTCTACAGTTGTAGATTATTTATTCTCAAGATCAAAGAGGAAAATAGGAAAAGTGTAGGTTCGAAGCCTCCCTAGAGGCCGGGTCGCTGGCCTCCCGTAGCAGGCGGTAGCTTTCGTGTAGAAAGGAAACACTAAGAAAGGGGCCGGAGGTGCGCGTCCCGTCGCGGGGAGCGATGGCGGGGAGGCTCTCGGGGACGCCGTGCGCTGCCTTCCAGGGAGCACCATCATGTACGGGGCGCTGCTGCTGTTCGAGTCGGAGTTCGTGCACATCGTGGCCATCTCCTTCACGTCGCTCATCCTCACCGAGCTGCTGATGGTGGCGCTGACCATCCAGACCTGGCACTGGCTCATGACGGTGGCCGAGCTGCTCAGCCTGGCCTGCTACGTCGCCTCCCTGGTGTTCCTCCACGAGTTCATCGGTAAGAGCCCCGGGCATGTAAGCCTGTCCGTAGGCCCCGGAGTCTCGGCCCCGAGGTCTGGCCACCCCGTGGAGGGAGGTGCCTCCCGGCGCTGGGGCCCCGGCTCTTTGTCCCTTCGCGCTCGGCTGCTGCGGTTTCTTACTCAGGACGGTGGCAGGTGTGCATTGGCGTGTGTGGTTGAGGCTACGGGACATGCTCTCAGCATAGAGTGTTTTTTTTTTTTTTTTCTGAGACAGAGTCTCACTGTGTTGCCCGGGCTAGAGTGCCGTGGCGTCATCGTAGCTCACAGCAACCTCAAACTCCTGGGCTCAAGCGATCCTCCTGCCTCAGCCTCCCGAGTAGCTGGGACTACAGGCATGCGCCACCATGCCTGGCTAATTTTTTCTATATATATTTAGTTGTCCGATTAATTTCTTTCTAATTTTAGTAGAGACAGGGTCTCGCTCTTGCTCAGGCTGGTCTCGAACTCCTGAGCTCAAACAATCCGCCCGCCTCGGCCTCCCAGAGAGCTAGGATTACAGGCGTGAGCCACTGCACCCGGCCTTGTTTTTTTTTTTAAGCTACGCAGAGCTACCTGGCTCAGAGGGAATCCATTTAATTCAGCCGGCGGTTACGGGTTTCTCCAGTGAGCCGGCCACGGAGCCGGGCCCCGCGGAGCTATGGGGAGGTCGAGCCCAGGTCTCACTCTGATAAATGACAGGCCAGCACCCTGGGAAACCGGAGGAGACAGCAATGGCCTTTTTAGCTGATGACTTTTCAAACTTTTTGGTTTTTTTTGGTCACAAAAACCCTTTGTTCCCATGAACTCTTAGTCTAAAGTCCAGTCGGTGAAACTGGTAGGGGTGGATTTGCGACCAGAGGCGGCAACAAGGAGGCGCGAGCCCCGGGACCCTGCCCTCGTGGCGCTTCCTTGCTGCTTTGTCCCGCTATACTCCCCAGGGGTCTCCCGGCTCTCAGAGCGAAATCTGCTGCCCTGTCCCACCAAACCGAGAGGTGACAAGTGCTGTGAGCAGCGGCACCGCCCATCCCACAGATATGTAGGGGCACCTGCTATGTGCCAGGGCGACAGCGGCAGACGGGGTGGATGGAGATGGGCTCGCCATGGAGTTTCCCTTCTTGCGGGGAAGACACACGGCAGACGCGTAGGTGAGCGCAGGTGTGCCCGGTGTGAGCAAAGCTGCAGAGGGATGGAAACAGGGTCAGCTGGTGGAGACCCACGCAAACCCCAAATAAAAAACGTCATGGAAATAGTTTACAGATGGGAAAGCGTGGGCACCCCCCGGAAGTGGGGTTGTGGGGGCGGATGTTTCTGACCGCAGCAGCGACTCCAGCTCTCCAGGCTGCCCACTGACAGCCACTGTCTCCAGACGGACACGCTGGGTCTTTCGCTGTCCACGCTGACCCCTCACGTGCTTCCTGCTATTGCCAGATTGGTTCAGTTCAGCTCATACTCACCGAGCAATTGTGAGCCGCGAGTCCCTGTGGGGCCACCGCGATGATGACCTCTGTGCCGTGCGGGGACCGCTGTGCTGCTGACCTGGGCTCTAGTTCCTATCCAGAAACCTCTTTCTAGCTCAGCGTCATGAACTGTCAACACAGTCCGGATGACCCCGCACTTTCTGTGTTGGGCTGTGGATAGTCTCGTGGGACTCTAATCTTGGTTTTCCCAAGCACAGGGCAAATTCAAGCCTGTCTGAGCTTCGTAACTTCCGGGCCAGAGGTCATCATCTTGAAAGCCCAGCTAGGCGGCAGCCAATAGCCTTCTTTACTTTTGCAAAGCCTCATGCACGTCTTTCCTCTTCAACAGAAGCATGTCAGTTTCTGTCTGTGTTACTTCAACAGAACAAAACAAAACACCCTCAGCGTGAGTTTTCTCCTCTGTCAGCTGGGGGAGCTCAGCTCTGAGGCTGCTCCCCGCTAAGATGCTCATGTCTCTTCACGGCTGAGGGTAGACAACCTCCGGGGAACTTTCCAGTCCTAGGCCCCCACCCACACCCCCGTGGGCGGCCTGCAGGGCCAGGGCTTCTCCAGCCCGCGGCTCCTCTGTCACTGAGGCATTCTCAGTGGTGGTGATGTGGCCCCTGCCACCCAGCAAGCAAATGTTGGCCTTTGGTCGGGTGTGAACAAATCTCACTCCCTTTGTGTATAAAGTGCCAGATACGTGTATAATTTTATAAACATATACAGTATACCTGTGGCATTAAAATTTCATGGAGATGATCGATTAGGGGGAAAAATGTCTGAAAGAGCTATTTAGGGATAATAATGAGAAAAAGGCTGAGAAACGCCACCCACCGTGGAAGCATCTTTGACCATGACTCTTTTTCAGCTTCCAAAGCTCCTGAAGAAGGTTTCAGTAAAGGTGAAAGAAACATTCCTATGAAAAGGGAGATTTTAGAACAGTTTCATACTTGTCCCCAGTCTCTCAGAAAGGGTTTTGTGAGCACCTACTATGTGCTTAAGGGCTTGGGCCTGGTGGGATCCTAGAGATGTGGTCCCTGCCCTCAGGAAGCTTGGCTTGCCTTCACCTTGGACCAGCCACAGCGCTGAGCAAGGGGCTCACAGGAGAACTGCATGGTGGGTTGAGCCCTGGGCCTGGCACTTAGTAGGTGCTTCATCAGCACTAGCTGTATTTACACATCCTGTGCTCAAGAAGTGGGGAAGGGGCTTACTCTGGCTCTGCTGTGTTGAAAACCACAAGCTGTCACTCCTCTCTCGAAAAGACCTCCTAACTCCTGGGCTCACTATGTTGCAGAAAAGGGAGCAGCCCTGTCCTTCGGTCAGAGTCCCCAAGGGTAATCCTGTGTCTGACGGGGGTCTCAGGCCACTGTGCACCGTGCCCAGACCCATCCCTTCGCTGTCTGTGACTGTCACTGCGACAAAGGGAAGAAGTTGCTGGAAGCAGAAACTTGCATTTGAGTGTCACTTTCTGCTCTCCGGTGGTCAGGGTTTAGAAGGAATCTCCAACTGTCAGATTTCTTTCTTGTTGCCGAGGCTAGAGTGCCGTGGCATCAGCCTAGCTCACAGCCACCTCAAACTCCCAGGCTCAAGTGATCCTCCTGCCTCAGTCTCCCAAGTAGCTGGGCCTACAGGCACACACCACCACACCCGGCTCATTTTTCCTATTTTTTAGTAGAGATGGGGTCTTGTTCTTGCTCAGGTTGGTCTTGAACTCCTGACCTCAAGTGATCCTGCTGCCTTGGCCTCCCAGAGTGCTAGGGTTACAGGTGTGAGCCACCGTGCCCGGCCATCCAACTGCCAGGTTTCAAATCAAAAACACCTCTGAGAGTATTCTTCCCCCGCAGTTTTCTTTTCCTAGTTGTTGAAAATAGCATCGCCCTGAGTATGGGGAAGCTACGACGACAGAGCAAAGGAAATCCAGATGGAGCCTGCTGTGCGTGGCGCCCTGAGCAGCAGCCCCTCCCTTCCAGGTCGCGGGAGGGAAGGGCCAACGCCAGGAAGCCGTGGGTTCGTTCCGCGACACAGCTTTCCCTTTGACAGCTGTGTTGCCTGTTTCGGGACCACACATGCCTTTTGGAACATTCCCGCCTGCTCACCGCTGTCTTCCCGTTCGCTTGCAGATGTGTACTTCATTGCCACCTTGTCATTCTTGTGGAAAGTCTCCGTCATCACGCTGGTCAGCTGCCTCCCCCTCTACGTCCTCAAGTACCTGCGAAGACGGTTCTCTCCCCCCAGCTACTCGAAGCTCACGTCGTAGGCCGTGCGCTGGCGGAGCGGGCCGGGTCTCTGCGCTTGCCTGATGGACAGAGTCCAAGCTCCATTTATGTTACCCACCACCTGTGGATTTTGCAGTAATTGCTAACACGTGCGGTTCTGACGGGGCGAGCCCGTGCACGTAAACGCAGTCCTAACGCCGAGTATACGGGAGGGAGGTTCCTAAAAGGTGCCCACTCAGGCCCGTTTGAACCCCCGGTCATTCATATGTGCGTGAACGTGAAAACCTTAAAACGGGTGGCTCAGCTGGGAGGTATATAGGGGTCCCGTGCGAGCTTCCTTATGACTTGAATTTTGTTGCTGTGTGATAAAAGTTTTTGTCTAGTCGAAGGTTGTAGAAGGCTTGTTTTTTGTTTCTGTTTTGTTTTTTTAACAGTCCTAGCGTGTGCGTACTCTTTTAAGTCTTTCTCACTCTTACAAAGTGGCGTCAGAAAAAGACAAAGTGCTTAGTGTAGGGTTGGGAGGAGAAGACAGTGACATTTGGTGAAAAGTTATCCAAACAATAATCTCCATTTGGAAATGCTGAATGTCCTCTCTAGGCGGCCCTAGTTATCCGAGTCACCTTGCATTCCTGGGTTACAAGCAAATGAGAGGCAGGGAGGGAGGGAGGGCACCGCAAATCCAGCCGGGTTTCCTTGATCCGATTCAACAGCCGCAGTTCTTGGGTTAACGTCACCTGCCACCTCGTAAAAGGACTTCAGACGCGTGATCCTGCTTTGTCGGGACCGGCAACGATTACAAAGCCAGTGTCTGTCTGAGGACGCCCTCCGACATTTTCAGCAGAGTTGTTTTAGCAGGAAACGTGCCACTGAACGGCCCCGAAATGTGTCGACAGTGTGATAAGAGACTCAACTAATTCTTTAGACAACATGGCAGATGTGACTCAGATCCTCCGGGTCCAGAGCGGAAAGGTCAGGGAGCTGGGGTGCTTCTCGTCCACAGAAACCTGTTTCCTGTTAGGGGGAATTACTGAGGACACACCGACAAAGGCAGGGGCATCTCGCGGCGCTCCCTCGGCGGCAGCTTGCCGAGCGGGGAGCCCCGAGGGAGGAGGCTCGGGCTGCAGCTCTGGGATCTGGGATCTCTTCCCCTGCCTGTAGATTTCAAGAGGGACTTGCTGAAAGCCAGCGGGTATAAAGATATCTCCCCCACCAGGATGGACTCCATGCGTGTGTGTTTCTTACAGGGCCATGGCTGCTTGTTTCAGAGGAAGAAGGGCATTTGCAAGCATTGGACGTGGCAGAGCAAGGCATTCTTGGGTTTTCAAGTCACCTCTTGCAGAAGCCACATGTGCATGCCATAAGGGTTAAGTTGGTGGATGTTCAAGAGCTGAGTGTGGTTGATAGCTTGGATTTATGATTAATTCTTTGTGGGTACATACCCTTCAACCTCTGGCATGACATGACTTGCGTGTGCTTCAGAGATGCATGTTACAGCCTGATGGCTGACCTACCACCTACCCTTGGAAAAACCTGCTCTTGGAGAGTTGGGGACACAAGAATCAGACGGTCCCTTGCCTTTGGAGCACTCTTGAGATGCTCTTGTATTTTGTGTTGCCCTTTCAAAACTTTCCGAAATGACAGTAAGTTGCAGGTGCTGATGGATTGGCTGTTGACACTGCTCCTATTTCGTCATAAGATTTGGCAGTTTTGCAGTATTTGCCTCTGTTGGATTCAGCCGTTTCTGCCAGAGAGAAAAGGTCTACGGGAAAGATGGGTTGCACTGAATGAATGGTTGTTTAGGGGTAGGAACTTTGTTCAAAAATTCCAGAAAGGTCGAGCAAGTCTGACTTTTTCACCAAGTGATTTGATGTGGCTTCAAAGGTAGCGGAGAAGAAAATTATGCTCAACAGCTTTCGAGCCTCTGTTTTCTTGGAGGTCAGCCTGCAAAACTGGGCATCTTAAGATAGTTCCGCTCTGAGTTCACAAACCCTGACAGGCGATGGCTTCTGCAGGTGGGTCACGTGGAACCGTTGTTAAGAAATTTTAGATGTTTCCAGCAGATACAGGGAAAGAAGATGATCTCTCTGGTCTTTTCCTTAATTCTCAATTTTGATTGAGGTGCACGAGTTGACTTTTAAAGTCAACACTCAAGATACTGCTTGACATCTCGAAGGGAGAGAGCTTCCAAGAGAGGCTGACAAAGCCGTACCTGGACATCGAAGGTACACACCAGTGTCCTCCACAAACCTTGTTCTGTCATCTCAGCCACACTTGGGTGGAGGCAGTCCAGGGAAACGCAAGTGGAAACTGCCATGTTGTAGGACCATCCGTCCTTGCCGATGCCACCTGCCAGGGCGTCCCCCGGTGTCTGGGAATGCACACGCCGTGCGTCTCACACACCGGAGACACAGAGGCAGGGGCGTTCCGTCAGTTGAGAGTGCACGACCCTCACCTGCACAAATGGGACCATGATCCCAACAGAGAACCCGGGAGCGCTCAGGCACTTCCAGGGCGTTATCTTATTTGTGGGGAGAAGATTAAGAAACACACAAACAAGAAACCTGAGCTGTTTTGCAAAACACTCTCCTGAGTTTGTAAACCTTAAGCATAAGGATTCAGTTGACCTTTTTCCTTGGTTCATCAATCTGGAAAGAACTGACATAACTTACACTATCGACACCCTCGCCTTAGAACGCAACGGGACTTAAGTCTCCGACAGCCGATTTAATTTGAGGTCAGGGGGCCTCCAGGCCAGCACTGTTTGAACACTTTTCCCTAAAGCAAAATCATAGCTCCCTGTGCCCTCTGACAACACTAGCTATTTCTGCCAGAGTAAGAACTTCTGTTATTATTATTCTTATATCTTTGATGATGGTTGTGTAGGGGACAGAGGATCTGTTTGGTCTCTTTTCTCCCCCTCCTTCCTTCCTTCCTTCCTTTTTTTTTTATATCTCTAAAAAAAAAACAACAGTCTCCACATCGAAAAAAATCTCAAAAATGAGAGGGGTGAGATCCACACTCAGAGAGCGTGTGTGTGCACGTGTGTGGCCTTGGCGCCTGATGAGACAGGTGGCAGGACGCTAGCTGTTCAGAAGGCATCCAGGGAGCGTCTTAAAGTTGGAGCAACCACCTGTTCCCAGCCCCTGGAGCTGGCAGGCTGAGCACTGGGGTTTCTCCCGTTCTCCCTGAGCATCCTTAATGCCCCAACCCAGCCCTGCTCCTCTGGAGCGAAACCTGTCTGTTTATTGGCAGTAATATTATTAATAAATACCATTATCTCTCTACAGATACTTCCTCAGTTTATTCTTGCTGAAAACGTAGGTTGTACTGACAATATTTTTAAACGTATTTTGAATTTTGTGCTCATTGGAAATTGAAATGTTAATGCCCATTTTTTTTCCTCCAGACTTTTGTTTTTATACTTTGCCTTGTTCCTACTGGGGTAGGGATGGGCATGCACTCATGCCTTTATGGGCAACATTTTAAACCTTTGCCAAAATTGCAGATGGGACCTGCACAGTCTTCTGCTCCATCCTGTTTAAAGCCGACACCTATCGGCTGTTTGTATCTTTAACCTCTGTCATAAGTTTGTGTTGTGCGTGTGAGTGTGTGATACCCTCTCAAGTTTTCTGAAGAAATATTTGGTTTACACTCAAATTCTACCACTCCCGGCTTTGTTTTCATTTAAAAAATATACAAGGAGCTTTGTAAATACAACAGATTTTATTTCTCCCCCTTCTTTTAATGTAAAGATTTTTGTTGTTTATATATACTTAAAATATTCCTATGAATTATGTCCAGTTCTTCTTGAAACAAAAAATCACGTTTTTGAATGGAACTGCAAGGCATCCCACCGTGTGAGCAGCACACCTCGCCTGGTGCTCCGAAGCATCGTCTCAGGCCAAAGCAGCGTCACCTGTGAATCTGTCTTCTCCGTCACAGCATGGTTTGAGGTGCAGTCTGTTAATATAGCTGGAGAATGTCAGTGACTATTGTGTTTGTTGGGTCAGGTGGGGGGCATGGTATTTGCAAAAAAAAAAAAAATTGTGGCTAATTTATATTTTGTTGCAGTGAGGTTAATTGTAAACTCATCTGGCAGTTCATGATTTCCTCATTAGTAGATCTCTCTCCATGTAATCCTCATTGCAAATTTTCACCAGGACAGCGGTTTTTGATTAGAGGGGAGCTCTGGTACAGTATGCTTTAATTTAGTAGAAACTTCCAGATGACTTAAATTCTCGATTCTGTGATGACACACATGTGATCTTTCGTGTTTCTGAGCGATTCTACTTTCATTGTTTGCCAGCGTGGCCCATGGCTGTTGCCCAATAAAGCTTGTATACTTTCTGCCTTGGGGGATTACTTTAATTTGTACGGAGACATGAATTCTGGTGTCAAAATGAGGACGTTTTATTATAATGTTCCTATTTTGTGCTTATCTCATGGTACGCAACATGTAAAGAACTCTTTTCCAGTTAAAAAAAAAAAAACATTTGATTTTGGCAAAAACCTCCAAATCGATGCATGTTATTTATTATTCTGTTCTGTTGTCCGTTTCAGACATGTCAGAATTTCAAGAAGTGAATGCTATAAATGGAGAATAAGATGAAAACCGTAAGATTCACATTGTATTTATGCACACAGTACTTGCTGACTCCGGAATCTGGGGCTTTTAGTTTGTTTTTTAATCAAGGGACGGAAGATCTAGGAATCCAGTCACTTCAGCTTTAGGCAAAAGAGTTTTTTAAGCTATCGTGTAGGAAGTAGGGGGCATCGTGTTTTATTTAATCCAGTGATTTCAACCAGGGCAATTTTGTCCCTCGGGGGACCTGTGGGATCTGAAGACATTTTCAGTTGTCACGCCTGGGGGAAGAGGGGCTCGCAGGGAAGGGATGCTGCTGCTCATCCCACTACGGCGCGCAGGGCAGCTCCCGCCGGGAAGAATTATCCTGCCCAGAACGTCGAAAGTATGGAGGTTGATATCTGCACGTGTCAGTTTGAGCGCTTGTCTGTCTGCATTTGCAAAGGGGCCCCGCGAAGGCGAAGGCCCCTGCGTCTCAGGAAACACGTTTTGCATCCAGCCGGCCGAATGGCTTACTCGCTAGCTCTTTGCAGCACGGGCTGCTGCTTTCCTCTGGTGGGCTCTCCGTTGAAAGGGCCATTCTCAGTTTTATCGATTAGAAAGAGAATTGTCATTTAGCTGTTTCCCAGCCCGTAGCTCCCCTGGGCAAAAGGAAGACACGTGCCGTCACAGGCCGGGGCCCACAGTGCTCTTCCTTCCACACGTGCATGCCGTGGCCGCGCGGTGCCAGGCCCCTGCCTCTGCCTGCCGTGAAATTCCGTGAATGTGTAGACGCTGCTCCTTCCGAGCCGCTAGGGGGAA